CCATGCTGGAGGCCCCGCCTGCTCTGCTGGGTACAGTGCCGCGTGGTTGGTGCACTGTGTGGCAGTATTGGGTGTGGATGAGGAGGGAGGGCCAGGGAAGCGGGGAGAGAAAAGCATCTCTTGGCCCTTTAGTCAGCTGGAAATGCACCATGTCTCACACACACACACACACACACACACACACACAAACCAACAACAACTCTCACTTCCCTGGCTCACAGCCTCTTGAAAGATACCAAAGATCTGATTGCAGGAAGTGGAGTCTCAGCTCCTTGATTCTCACTGCCAGAAGCAATCAGCTATAAGCTGAAACCTCCATCTTCCCCCACACCAAGCAGAATGAGATGTGAGTTCACACACACACACACACACACACTTAGTCACAGCTGCTCACCCAGCCCCGCCAAGGAGATTAGGGACAAGAAAAGGCCAACCCCACACCTTCCAGCAGGTGTCTGTCTGGCATCCTCCGACAGGCTTTCTCCTCGTGGCCCTGCCAATGCACCCCGATCCCTCGCCCCCACTCCAGTCTGCCAGACTGTGCAGCCAGGGCAGAACAGAGGATGCTATGGCGGCGGGAACCAAGGCAGAGCCAGTGGGATGCAAAGCCTCTGCGGCTCTTAGGGGTTGCTTGAGGACACAAGAACCTCCAAACACGTGATTGTAGAGATGGGGTCCGGGGAGGAGGAAGTAGCACCACTGAAATGTCAGCACAGGGCCGACTGGGACCAGCCACTGGTAACCAGACTGTCATATTCAAAACATCCAACCAGACAACCCAGCTAAACAGTATCGTTTGTTACGTCTGATGCCTGAGGCCGCCTCTCTCCTCCTCACTGGCCAATAACTCTGTCCTTTTTTTGCTTCAGCCCTGGAAATGGAAGGAAGATTTGGGTGAAGAAAGGAAGGCACCCAACCTAACCTCACCCCTGCCACCACCCTGCATTGCTGGGACTGGTTGGTGGGGGGGGGGGAGCCAAGAATGAGGACACAGGTAGCAGCTAGGAGAGGATTTATTTCTACCTTTTTCAGGCTGGTGAGAGAACCAGGCACCCACAGAGCGTTGCCTGCAATCCCATCCAAGCACCGGCAAAACGTCACCAGCAATCTCCATCCAAGCTAGGGTTGGAACTTTGCCACAACTCCCCCACATAACACAACATTTGAACCTCAGACCCATCCTTTGCTCCATCACTCACTCACTCACTCACTCACTCACACACACACACACACACACACACACACACACACACACAGAGGCTGGATCATCCATTTTTCCTCCCTATGGAGTAAACTCTGACACTTAGACCTGGAAGCCTAGTAGACTACAAGTATTTTATTCTCTCACCTGCTGTTCAGCTGATCGTGAGTCCAGTAATTAAGCTTCCCATTGGTGAGCTTGACTTTTCAAAACACATAACACAACTCAAATGATGCCCTTTCCCATTTGACAGCTTTTTTTCTACCAGGGAGGATATCAGGTCACAGGAAAATTCCTGATGAAAAGTATATAGACAAATTTCAAATATCTGCAACACGTTGTTTCACAAAAAAATAAAAATAAAAACTGCACAGGGGCTCATGCTCACAACTCCAGCTACTGGAAGGCAGGGACCAGGAACATCAAGGCCACCTTGAAGCAAAATGTTAGCAAGGTCCCCATCTCAACCAACAAGACTGTGGTGTTACATGCCTGTAATCCAGGCTAATCCAGGCAAAACATGCAAAACTCTTACCGAAAAATAACTGAAATAAAAAGGGCTGGGGGGGGATGGCTCGCGTAATAAAGCATTTCCCTAGTAACCACAGACCCCTGAGTTCAGACCCCCCAAAAAAAAAGTTCACCAAAGAAATCAAAATGTTCTTTCCTTGGATCAAATTATCTGAGAAAACTTATAGAATGTAAAATATTATGATCACAGTCTTAAATGGCAACCAATCTAGTAACAAGTGAATTTTCTCAATCCCAATCAGAATATTAAAGCATACAGTACTCTCAAAATAATAAAAATCAAGTCAGGTAATGGTGGCTCATGCCTGTAACCCTAGCTACTTAGGAAGCTGAGATCTGAGGATTATGGTTCTAAGCCAGCCCAAGCTGAGAAATTTGTGAGACTCTTATTTGCAATTAACCAGCAAAAAGCTAGAAGTAGAGCTATTGCTCAAGAGGTGGAGCACCAGCCTTGACCTAAAAAGCCGAGCAAGAGCCAAGTAAGCCCCAGTACCAGCACCAAGAATTTTTTTAAAAAGACAGAAGAAAAGAGATGAGACAAGAATAAGATCTGTTTTCTTGGGTTTTCCAGTGCTGAGGATTAAACTCAGGGCCTTGTACATGTTGGTTAGACAAGAATACCACTGACTACATCCCCTAGTCCAAAATGTCAGCTGTCTTTTTTTTTTTTCACTTTTAACATGTGATCACAGGAGTTTGCTCATCTCTAACTGCTTCTACTGGATTTCCAAGGTGACTTCTATGCTCATTTCCCAGTTAACATCACCAGGGCCTGACCAATGAAAACCAACACAAAAACAATCCACACTTCTCCATCAAGACAGCATTCCCAGTTACACTAATACCAAATTCACTGGTGACAATTGCTCACCTGCCCTCCAGTGAAAAATAGCTGCCATCCAACCTCAGACCTGGCAAATGTTCTCTGCCCGCTTCATAGCCCATTAGGCAACTCTGTGAAAGAGGCAGATGAATCGTTCCCCCCAAAGGAAAGCATCAGCTTTGCCCAATACCTTGTGTGGAACAGGCGTTGCCAATGCTTTTATCTGTTAAAAATAGATCTGTTAACACCTCAGTTCACAGCAGAAGCAACACACTAGCTGTGTCAGAACCCACCAGCACTACGGTTAGACAATGGGAGACACACGGGCCTCAAAGAGGACCCACAAACCTCTCTGTCTCTGCTGAGGCCATGGGTTATGTTCCAATGGCCCATCAATGGGTGGCGGCTTCCCATTCTAGACATTTACAGTGCACTCAGCCATTAAGACTCTGAGCAAGTTCCCCTCCATGTGTCTCTGTGCAATGTACACCGAAACAATTCTCCTTCTTGCTGAAATTCAAACTATTTGAGTTACATGAGGCGATTGTATATTGTAATTATCGTACTGCCTTGTAACTACTTGTGTTGTGAATGTCTCCCTCCAACCCTGCCCTTCCCCACCTCTAGAACTGAGCTCCTTAAAAGAGCTTCCTGCAACCTTGAGTCCACTACTTGGTAACCAGAGCCAGATTGAGTTCGTTTAAATTGAATGAAACTGAAATGGCAATGTCTTTTTCCTCTTAGATCCTGAATCCTACTATGCACCTCATAATATGTTAGATTTAATTCATCAGGATTTACAACTTGTGTATATGTGTGTATGTGTCTGTGTCTGTCTGTGTGTTTGTGTGTGTGTGCCAATGCCGGGGCTCGAACTCAGGGCCTCACACTCTTTCTTGGTTTCTTCACTCAAAGCAAGCACTCTACCACTTGAGTCATACCTCCACCTCTGTCTCTTTTGGTGGTTAACCAGCAATGAGTCTCTTGACATTTTTGCTCAGATCTCAGTCACCAGAGTTGCTAGGATTACAGGCATGAGCTACAACACCAGACCATTTACCTTAAATATTCCTTTAGTTTCCTACTTATGGACTTTATTATACCAATAGGTAGTGGGAAAAAAGCAACTATTGTTCTCTGGGTCCTTACATGTCTACCACCTACTCAAAAGAAACGAATTTTCCTGAGAATAGGGTCTCTAAGGCAAATGTCAGACTGAAATTAAATAAGTATATCGTACATGTGAGCATATGAAGATGCTGTTGGACTTGAGCGCTCTTTCCCCATGCACTGCTGAGTCTCTGATAATGACTAAAGCTAAAAGGGGCCCCAGTCTCAATAGGGCTGGTCCATCACTGGTATGTGCTCTCTCATTTCAAGAATACTGGACACCTACAATTTTTGCCTGAAACAAATGAATGATGGTTCTGTTTGCTTCATTGTCTCTCCCATCTCCCCACTTCAAGCTGTGGTTGGTTAATTCAAGTCAAACCAATAAATATGACTATACCTGGCAGGCCCCATGCACACAAAGAAAAGGAATAAGATTCAGCCAAAAAAAAAAATTCCAAGTTAATCAGCAAAGAGATCTTTAACATTAGGAAACAATAAAGGAATGCTTACTTGCACATAAATGTAAATTGAGTCTTACCCCTTGGATGTTAAGAGAAGAAAATGATGCGATAGGACTATGTGACAAATACAAGCACATGGCACTCACGGGACAAATGGGTCACCGTGAAGAACTGGGCCAGCAAGAAGAAGAGCCCTCCTGCCACAGATAGACAGCAGATGCCACGGGCACATGCATGAGAATAGCCAACCATCTCTGTTTGCTCATTAAGCCACCTGTGACTGTCATATAAGTCCCTGAGGATCCCTGGCCAAGAAATTCCCTAGCCAATGATCACAGACATTTTCATCTTTGCTGCACAAGCACATGTGAGCCAGGGTTCCAAGTCCTGTCCCTCAAAGGTACATAGAAATATGGAAGTGGAGGCCAGGTACTACCCCTTAGTGATATCCCCTGGGGGAAACCTCCAAAGTAATGCAGCTGGTCTTTTACAAATGATGGCCCAGAGGATTCGTACATTGCCACCATAATACACCGAGCAACGTGGAGGGGTGCTCAAGTGACACCCAGGTAGATGAAATCTTAGATCTCGATCAGGATAGTAAATTAAGACCCTTGTCTTAACTGCTAGTAGTTTTCTTTTATTGTTGTTGATATTGTTTTGATTTTTTTTCAGAAGCCAAAGTACTCCAAATCTGTCATGTAATCAAACCAACTGAGATACTTCTGACCTATACCTACTGGCACTTCAGGGATCCCCCTCCTCCCCACAATGCCCTAAGACTCCACGGATCTCAGAAGACGCACAAGGTGCCAGCCCTCCAGGTGACAGACCAGCAGAGTCACAGCCACAGAGACGCAGGTGTACTTACGCAGGGCATGCCACTCGTCCTGACGGATGGTCTTGGTGATATTGAACGTGAGGTTCCTGGGGATGGTTGCTGAGGAGTAGTGGTACTTGATGTATGTACATCGCTCAAGTTCTCCTGGAAAAGAGAGACCAGAAGCCAACTATTAATGAGGTAGTGACCGTATTCGGAAGCAGTTCAGTGATCCATTTCTCTGTCCTGGAAATAAAGACTTGTTTCATAGTGGGTCTGATGGTGTCTACTGTGTATACAAGGCAGGAAAAAGGCAACAGAGGAAAACCACCATCAGATGGTAGATTGATTTAGATGGAAAAAAATACATCTATAGGATCATGCAGAAGTGGGAAGAACCAATGTTTAGACTACTGGAAATAAGCTTAAAAGAAAATGGTAGCCATCTCTGTTTAATCTTTTTAAGAAAGTCACCCTTCAACTCAAAAGTGAAAGTTTGGCATTTTATATATATACACATATTTTTATATATCTATGTAAATTTATACACACACGTATATGTGTGCATCCGTTTGTGTGTGTGCGTGTGCGCGCGCACATTCCATGGCTTCCAGGGGCCAGAGAGCAGGCCTCAACCTTAAGGAGGTAATTTGGGCTTAGTAAACATAGTCTTCTGGAATAGAATGAGCAAGAGGAAGGGGTGGGGGGTGTTCTTCCCTTGTCTCTCTCCATCCTCCCCAATCTCTGACCAAATCAATCTGGGTCCTTTTAAACCAATCTCTTCTCTTCTTTCCAAGACAAAACTATAGCCCAGTACCAAACTCAACACCTGGTCATAAGAACTTCACAATAAGTTACTTTACTCCAAGTATGGTCTTAGAGCAGAAATTCTTAAAGTGTGATCCCAGAACCAGTGTCATTAGCATCCCTCCTTAGGGATTTGCTAGAAATGCAGCATTTCAGGACCACTCTCAAGTGTACTGAATCAGAAACTCCAAGCCCGATCCTGGGTGAATCTTAAGCCTTCCAAGTGATTCTGTTGTATATTACGTTTGAGAACTGCTGCCTGAGAGAACCTAACATAATTGCCAGTGTATTAATTCAAGGATCCATCAAGTTTGCAAATTCCAAAAGGAAGGCCAGATTACCTTTGGTCTCCTGCAGCCATTTCTATTGACACTTACTTATCTAAGGGGTATTAAAACTCAATGGCAGCGCATTGTGAAGAATCAAGAAAGGAGTGATTTTTAAAGGTTAGAGGTTTTGGAATTTGGTTTTGCACCTGAATGGATTTTGATGGTAATCCATTTTGCACCCCACTGATTTTCAATTTATAACCGGTGGCACCTGATTGAATTGTTTGACCCCCCGGCCCACTGTCAGCAGGGAAGCTGGCAATTGGTGGAGTGCAATAATTTAGACAGTGCCTTGTGAAACTGATGCCTTATTGTAAATCATATCTGGACAACTTCCCAGTTGCCAGTGCCAGTTATCGGTGGGCATTTTTCTAATGGGACAGATTCTATCCAAATAGACCAAAGTTCTAGCAAGTGATATATACTCCTTTCCTGGGTGCTTCAGTTTTTCACGCTCCTATGCTCTCTGCACCCTCAAGCCTTCTGAGATCTCTCACATGACCCCAGCATTTCCCCCACTCCTTTCCCACCCAAAGCACGCCACCTCCTTAAACCTTCATGCCCAACCTCCCTTGATTTCTTAAACATCTGAAGACAGTATGTGCCAGATAGTCTACTTCCTCACTTCAAACCCTCACACCTCCTCTCGTTTCTACTCTCACTTCAGAGTTTCCGTTAAAAATATTGTTTCCTCTCTCGTCTTACAGCATCATCCTCAATGTCTCCTCTTTCCTTATAAGGGCTCCTCCTTCCTAACATCAGCTGGTCACCAAAGTCTGTCACTTCTCCTGCAGAAATGTCCTGGGAGTCTAGTCTCTCTCCTCGGGCCCCATTTCCTCTATATTGTTCTAGTATAGTCTCACACAGCGTAACAATGTTTCTGTCAATGCCAGACCACACATGCAATGGTGGTCTCTTAAGATTAGTGTAGCTGGGCGCCAGCAGCTCATGACTGTAATCCTAGCTACTCAGGAGGCTGAGATCTGAGGATCATGGTTCAAAGCCAGCCCAGGCAGGAAAGTTCGTGAGACTCTTATTTCCAATAAACCACTAGAAAACCAGAAGTGGCATTGTGGCTCAAGTGGTAGAGTGCTCGCCTTGAGCTGAAGAGAGCAGGGACTACGTCCAAGCCCAGAGTTCAGGCCCCATGACCAAAAAAAAAAAAAAAAAAGATTGGTATGTCACCTTCCAGGCTCAATGGCTCACCTCTATAATCCTAGATGCTTGGAAAGCAGAAATCTGGAGGATCATGGTTTGAGACCTGTGCAAAAATATTCCCAGAGGGGCAGTGGGAGGCTGGGAAGAGATGTGAAGGGTAAACAAAGGAGGAGGCTGCAATGCTTGATAAGAAATGAACTCATTATCTTGCCCATGTAATTGTAACCCCTCTGTACAGTATGTTCACAAAAAATAAAAATTAAAATTAAAAAAAAATATTCCCAGACTCCTATCTCAACCAATAGCTGGGCATGGTGGTACACAACTGTCATATCAGCTATGCAGGAGGCAAAAACTGGAGGGCTGCGATCCAGGCCCGCCCAGGAATAAATGTGAGACCCAACCCAAAAAGTAACTAAAGCATACAGGGCTGGAGATGTGGCTCAAGTGGTAGAGCACCTGCTTAACAAGTACAAGGCCTTCAGTTCAAATCCCAATACTATCCCAAAAGATATTTTTCTTCAAAGATGGCATCCCTTGGTGATATAGCCATCTTTGTTTGTATAAGTCCACTCTATGATGTTCATACAATGCAAAAATCACCTCACGACAGAACACATCCTGGTGATGGATGACACATGACTACAATGACCAATCTCCACCAACAGCCACCGTTATTGGGAAGAGCATGCTAGGTGGGAGAGAACTGCAAGTGATTTGTAGCCAAGTGGTTTCCAACTTCATGCAGGTCATAGTGCACACAGAGAAATGCTTCACAAGATACCCTGACATAAACAGGCCGTTGCTGCCCAGGCCCCTAAGAGCTGCAGAAACCAGCATTTCTAACACACCTAGAACCTATTCTGGGTTCGTTTCCCACCAGTGAGAAACTTCACTACAAATGTCTCATGTAATCCACTAACCATGAATTTCACCATGACATGACCAATGACATCTATGTTACCACTACCACATCATCTCTATTTTACAAGGAGAATGTGGGCTCAGACCAAACCAACAAGACAAGTGACTTGTCCAAGGAAGTGCCTTGCCAGGATTAGAACCCAGGGTTGTCTTCCCAGAGCCAACCTCTCTTAAGCCAACATCCCAGTCAGAGCACACTCCGCAAAGGCAATGCAGCTGTGTCATTTGCTCCAGAAGACACACTCAGAGGCCTCTGTTGGGCTCTTTTCTGACACAGGGGAAACTCCACAGTCCCCAGGGACAAAGTCCCAGCCCCCTCTCCAGCTCCCTTTGGCACACCTGAGGCTCCCGTGGGAAAATACTGACTACAAGGCTTCCCTTCACTAGGGCACCTGTTCTCCTCTCTGCCTGCCTCCCCAGTGACATTGGTCCTAAGAAGGGCTCCCAGCAAAGCCTTCCTGGTCACCCAGGTAACTGTGCATGCCAGCAACAGGCTCACCTGTGCAGCTACCTCCCCCACCCCCAACCCTTCCATACAGTGTGCACAGCATTGGCTGTGATTTATGTGTTTACCAGGCTCACTTCTCCATGAGATTATGAGTTTCTCAAGGGCAGGGATGTTGTCTTATTCATTCTTTTTTATCTGCCCAGCCTCCAGAGCAAGGCAAGCACCAATACTGTGTGCTTTCAGGAGAGGGATGAATAATATCAGGCAACACTTGTAAGACCACAGCGAGCAAAGAATCCCATGCAAGGAGTTCAAATAATGGACACAAATTAGAATATTGCAGAACTCTATGAGACTGTAGCACACACCTCTTCCCTGTTTGGACAACGTAAGGAGAGTCTTAACAATCCCAGCCAGCTGCGGCACTGATCATGTCTCTCAGTACTTGGCATATGTAATCCAATGAACAACTAGGTCAATGACTTGGTGGAGGAGGAGGAATACTATAGAAAGGAAAGTGGAGAGAGAAAAGGAAGAGAGTAGAAGGTTGGAACAAGGATATCGCTGACGACGACTTGGACAGGCACAGTTAGGCGGGCTTGGCCCCACACAAGGGCGGCCCCTAGAATCCTTGGGTGCTGAGATCCAGCAGCTACTCTGCTTGGCAAGCCTTACACACCAGCGGGATCTGGGGAGATTACCCTGGCTGTGTTTATCTAAGTTTCACAGAAGTACCATATGAACTGGCAGCAGCTGCACAGGCAATACTAACAAAAATCAAAACACTCCTCGGACCCAACCTTGGAGCACAAAACCCAATGCCACTTCTGGTGGGCAGATTGCTGCCTGTCACAGAAAAGCTCCGGATTGCTTAGCTGAGGTCAGGATCTCTCAGCCTTCAGTATAAACCCAACACACTGCTGCCAGTCCCGGGCAAGTGGAAGCCAGTTCCCTTAGTCTCTCCCACCATAGCCTACCCAGCCAATGCGGGAGGAGGCCACTTGACAGACAGCAAGAGCAAGTAAGCAAAGCATAGGATGCACAGGTGGTGGCCAAAGAGCCTGGGAGAGCATGCAGAGCTGCCCTGCTGGAGGCCCCTCATTGTTTGCTTTGCTTCCGAGATGTAAGCATCCTGCCTTCGACAGCAATTAAATCTGAAAGATTCAAACATTGCCTAAGAAGGAAGGCAAAATATTTATCCATGTGTCTACAGGTCCTGTCAGTGTTCTGGGCTTTCATAAATACAGGCACCATCTGGGCACCCAGTACGGGTGCCCAGAACGTGGGCTTCCCAGTGCAAACAGGTTTCCTGCAGGAAGTGCTGCAGAGCAACGGGGAAGCCCAGGGCCTTCCCAAGAAAGGACGTCAAGTCCAGCTTCCCAACGCCTGTACCCCAGGCCAGGGCCTCTGCTCTCCACTGCCCCAGGGAACCATCACAGAAGGACACCTGGCTGTGGAGCTCAAGGCATGGACCCTACCTATGGCCTCAATCAAGCTCT